AGGCATTGTTTTAGAAAACTCCTTTCTGGCTTCTCATTTCTAACTCATTTGGCTGTAATTTCTACTGTCAAGGTCATTTAAATAGGCAGCAAGATGTGGCGGATGTGTTCCCAGAGGTCCTGAAAAGCCTCTTTAGTACAGCATGCTAGGCTGTGCTTAGCCAGGTCATTTAAGCACATTTCTATTGCCAGTCAGATGATACACAGAGCAGTTCATGATTTTGTAATAAACTGTGCAACCTGGACCGTCAGTGTGTGCCACAGTGGGATACAGCGCTTGGATTTAAATGACAGTGCAGTAATTCAGTAACTGTATTTTAATAGTGTACTAATCTTAAAAATAATGTGAAAAGAAGTGAGATTATGAAATCCGAATTAATTGTCTGGGTTCTTCCCTACCATGCCCCATTTTTTTCTTTCTCTGAGACTGGTTCATTCATCTGGGCTATCAGTCTTTTATTCAGCTTCTGATGTTGAAATAGTGCCATTTTTAATAAATAGTTTAGAAAGATTATCAAAATCAGATTTTATTCTCTTCTTTTTCCATATACCTTCTCCTTAGAGGTAAACTAACCTTTTATCTTAGGAAGTAAATAGAGACAGTGTGATTGAAAAATTAGAAAATATACCATTTCAGCCAACTATTTGCAATGTTGGCAGCTGTGAGTCAGAATTCCTGGGTTTGAAACTCTGCTGCTATGTTACTGTGTGACTGTGGCCAAATCCTTTCCTTTTCTCTCTCTTTCATTTTTTCCTCCCATATTAATAAGCAGTTTGTGTTTACCTAGCATTTTACCTTTTCAAAGGGCCATACAAGCCTTATAAAAGCAGTGTGATACACACTCAACTTATCAGCATGTTTAAGTGTTGCTTCTCAGGCACTTGTACTTGGAGATTTACAATGTCTGATACCTAAATATAAAAGCTCAAAGTTACACAAATCCAGATTAAGTGAAGCTACAAAATGCAGCTCTTGAGGATTTTGTTTACTCCCCAGATTCTAGTGTAGATGAAGCGTTCTTCTTTCTTCCCTTGTATGTCTAAAGATCATCTGGAAAAAAAATAAAATAGAGCAATTCAGGGATTTCAGGTTCCTCGAGCTCCAAAGTTTTGGTTAGTGGCAGTCTTCCAATGCTGGGAAGCAGACCACCAGCTCTCCCTAAAATAGTGTCTATTCTGACAATACTCTGATACAGGTGATGGGGAAACTCTTTACAATGCCTTGCTCTTGCAGTGGGTACTTCATTTTATTAGCCCTTTGTCATGTGTTTTCGCTTATGCTTTATTCTCTACATTTATTTTTTTTGTGTGTGTGTATTTCGTTTTGCTAGACAAATGTGCTACTTTAAAGGAAATATTTCATAACCTTTAATCAAGATCATATTTTACTTTCATCACATCTGTGTTTATGTTATTACAAGCCTTTTGGGTCTTTACATCCTCTGGTCCAAGCAGTAATCGTTTTGGCTGATATATAAATAAATGTTTGACTTTGTTTAACTCTTTGAAAAATACTGACTTGAAAAAAAATCACCCTTATCAATGGCTTAGAATAACTGCATGTCAGAAAAAAAGACAGAGACCAATCAATACTGACCTCTCTCTAATAAAAACTAAATGCAGGGAGCAGTTCTAAATTCTGTGATGCCATTGTATAAAATCGAATCTCCTGGCTGTTGAAAGGCAACCATCTACCTGGAGTGAACATGCTACATCTATTTTTTTTTTTTTTTATTACTTTTATTTTCACTGGGTGTCACGCTGCACTTATACACAGCCTTGATATGATTGAGAGTGAAGCCTGCTAATCTATAATGTGTCAGAATGTCAGCTGGGAGATTGTATAGTTAAAAAATAAAGTAAGGGCCGCATTTAACTCTTCTCATGGTTATGCAGCCACAAATCAATAATGAAGACAGTACAGCTCTTAATTTAAACTGGAAGATCAGAGAATTTTGAATTTATGTCTGCAGATAGGAAAAAAAGAGTAAAATGGCTCAGTGACTATAGGAGTGGAGATCCTAACAGTCATCTTCACACTTAACACAATTGTATATTATTACCTGTCTCCCAGATATTTTTTAGACTCCCATGGAATAAATCAGTGTAGTTCCACTGTGGTAAAGGAAATTACTTAAATTATTATTAACTCATGATCCAAAGTAGGATTTCTAAACTCTCTGACTGAATTTTTAATGTATTTCACTTCCAGCAAGGATTTGAGAATGCTCTTTGAAATACCATAAGTAAAAATGTTGCAAAGTCCAAACAGTGAAGTAATTTTGTAAATACATATAATAGCTGAAAATTGTTTACTTATCCTCCTTTATGAGAAACAAGCTTCTGTGACCTCCGATTAATTTACCATTAGCCTGAACACACAATGAAAGTGAATAAAGGGGCAATTTGGAATGACATTTATCATCTCTGGAGCTGTCGACTTCTATTATTTCCACAAGGCCTTATACTCCTTGGCTCCAGAGAAGGCTGTGCTGACTTGAATGAAGAAGAGCATTCTTACTATCAAGAATAGTTACAGCAGAGACAGCTCCATTGCTGGATGCCTGCGATGGGAAAAAATCACCTCCCTCATTTTTAACTTGCATTAAATGAGACCAAAACCACTGTTCTATAGTGGACTTGCACACGACCTTGCTTACACCAGACTTAAAAAAAAGGGAACTGAAGAACTGAGAAAAGGGAGAATGAGCAAGAGAAGGGAAGGAAATAAACTTGATAGGGGCAGGATAGCCAAAGGATTGAGTCAAGAGGACAAGAATGAAAAAACCCTTTCAGCACAAGGATGCAGGTTGTCATCAAGGCTGATTTTGCAGGGAGTGAGAGCCATTACCATCAGGGGCTGGTTGCTGCTCTGTATGCGCTGAAGTGCTGCTCTTGGTCAGTTTCCAGTGGCCAGATAGCACACTGCAGCTTTTAGTACCATACCTGGTACTACTATCATTCCCTTTTGTTGAGACTTACAGCAGAGGTCAAGTATTGAATATACATGGAAGCCAACCCCTCTTGGATTGAGCCAAAACAAGTCTGTGGGCAGGTTTGCTTTGCTTCTGATGCTGTCTTCCAAACAGATGACTTTGCTCTTCAGGGATCCTTGTCTGGCACAGGGTCACTGTGGTTGGTTGGTTGGCTAGTTTGTACTTAACATTTTTATGCCACTAACTCAGTATTGATTTTACAATACTATCATTGCACTGTTGTGAGATTTTATTTTTTTTTTAATTTAAATTGGTAGAACAACAGAGCAATTCCTTTTCCATAGTAGGTTAATTTATTTTGTTCTAATACAAATGGATTTATAAATGATTTGTATAAAGTAACAAATACCTTCATAAAATGTCAAATGCTGGTTGAACTGCATGGCATTTTAAACCCTGAGTCCTAAATTTCCTAGAAGATAACAGAACTGCCTTCTAGGTGCCTAAGTTGCTTCTGAGAATACAGAATTTAGGCTCCTAAGACAATTTTAAGCATCGATTTTTTTGCCCTGTTATTTTATACACAAGTTACATCTAGGACAGTTTAAATAACTCTTTAAGGATGACAGCTTTGTCTGTGGTGTCTCTGTTGTATTTGTCTGCTAAGCTTTATTTTATTTTTAACTGTGACTAATACAAAAATGTAGAAATAATCCATTATAACAAAAGTGCTTTGCTCAGAGGTTGCTTCTTCCAGGTAATGGAAAAGTTATATGACAGTGCTTTGCAGAATTGTCCTGTGTTTGGAGACGTACATCTACATCACACTTCCACAAGTGGCGGGCAACTATAAAATTCCTTCTTTACTGCAGCACACCATCCTCTGTGGAAAAGAATCAGTATTATATGATAGTAGTTACAGATACCTTAGTGGTAACAGTAAAACACTCAAACATTATGAGTCTAATTCCAGTAGCTTTGCATTGCTGTAAGTCAAGAATAATTCTATAAAACTGAATGTACTTACAACTCGGGGAGATCAGAATCAGCTTCTTTGGTGCCTAGAGCTGAAACCCAGTTGCATGATACAACACTTCCTGTAGCTAAAGGACGGCTTTCCTAAGTCACAGTATCAGAACAGAGCTAAGCTAATATGCGATGGTTGGATCTAATGCCATATCCATTTAAAAGTCAGTTAAGATCACTTCTAAAATATGCTGCTTGTTGAAAACCTTTTTTTCCTTTCCCTGTTTTTTTTTGTTTTGGTTTGATTTTTTTTCTCTTTTTTATTTTGTTCAAATTAAAATACTTCCGTTAGAATTTTATGTCCTTTATAGCCCTGTCTGTTACTGTGTGTAATCAAGCCAGGCTTAGAAATAACTCCTGTTACCCTGAAAAAAATGTCACACATTTTCTATTTTTGCATAATAATAATTACCTAAATATGGAAGTCCAGCTCCACAGAATATGAAGAAATCTAGGGCCTTACACACAATCATCCAGATGTTTCAAATTTTGGGGAATGAAAAGGCAGGTTCTCCCTGCTTTCTTGTTGTAGTGGAAGAGAAGCATTTATTTCCTGTGATATTTTTTGTGCTTGGAATTCTAAGCCTGGGAAGTTCAGAGGAAAGCACCCATTCACTCAAACACATTTGCCCAATTTGATTGGTGGTGGTTGAATTTTAAGTGAAAATGCTTTTCAGGTCTTATTTAATTTATCCATACCAAGTTTAAAATAACAAAAATACAACCTTACAATTGCTCTTTATTTTCATCATAGAAGCATATATCTTGTTGATGTGAATAATTTCTGCAGAGACAATTCTTACACATGAACTGCAAATGGAGGATGTTCTCTGATCATGTCATGCTAACTTCCCAGTTTATCAGTCACTTCAGTTCCAGACTGGAATGACAAGATGATATCACATTTGATCTTAATATATATCACACAACCTTTCAGGTTTAGAAGTTCATATGAGCTGAAAACAACTGTCTTTGCTTGGATGGTGTTGTGCCAACAGCAGTTTTTTCATAACATTTTTTTCTCTTTTGCTCATTGTAGGATGAAGTGGCCCAGCCTCTGAACCTTTCAGCCAAACCCAAGACATCTGATGGCAAGTCTCCCACATCACCCACCTCTCCTCATATGCCAACTCTGAGAATAAATAGTGGGGCCAGTTCACTAAAGTCCTCCGTGCCAGCAACATTAGCTAGTCCTTCAGCCAGAGCTAACACAATAGGTAAGCTCAGTTTCACGTGTCCCTCTTTATAACAATTAATAGATGTTAATGGAAAGTAGGCATTTATCAGCCAGTGGCTGACACTGGTCTATGAGCTGTCACAGGTTTGACCATAATACTACATTTGTTGATGTCAGTAGAGAAACTCCCACAGATTTACCGTTTCAGGAGTATCTTAACTTTTACAGACTCAGAAAACAAAGACCTGTTCTAGTTCAGATACTGCTTTATCAATAAAAGTGAATAAATTCTGTTTGTTTCATGGCATACATTAAAGACAGTGACCTATCTAATGGTGGGCATTAAAGACCTGTGATGTTGTACTATCACTAAAAGTGATGGATAAATTAAAATAAAAATCCATTTAAGTTAAAAGTCTACATATGCAAATGCATCTTTGCAAGATTACAGGTTTAATCCTGAGTCTGCTGAAAAGCTGCATGGAGCATTATTTCTCTTTAATAAATACATCAAATCTGGTGATTGATTTATCTTGCAAAAACTCTTGATGGTCTGCTTTTAACATTGTCAGAAAATAGTGTTAATTCTTCCTCCTGGCAAAATCACCCCTTTGCCTAAAGATCATCTAAATAATAACGGTCTAAGTGATTTTGCAAGTCTGATGTGTTAAAGGGACTGATCTTTGTGTGTATTAAGTAAAATGTATGCACACCTCATTCATCATCCTTGTAACAGAAAAATTTTATACCATGAAGTGCGATTGAATATAACCTGAATTAAGATTTCAGCATGCAAATCAAGCTTTGTTTAAGGAATTAAGTGAGGTAGGTAGTTGCACCTACTCTGCTACTCTGCCTTACTGCTCCTAAAGCATCTCCTGCTGGCCACTTTCAGGGATGACCCAAAAACAAAAAAAAAGCCATATGTCAAACCTGTCAGAAGCCTTTTCTGTGAAATCTCAGTGCTACATCATAGCTACATCATAAAAGCTTTTTGTGTCTTCATGGGTTTCTCCCAAGCTCATTGTAGTCCATATTCTACCTACATAGACACCAGGAAGAACCATAGTTACGTCCAAAGATTGGAACAGGTCTGGCTCCCACCAAATTACCATCTCACTCTGCATACATGATTATTGTTAATGTTGATGAAAGTTATGTATATCAGACAGAGAATATGCTTCTATGACTATTAGAAAAGAAAATAACTTTATTTGGTATGGTATGTCACAATTATATAAATATTTTGTAAATATCACATTGTTAATTGTTAATACATGTATTATTATTAACCCTACACTCTTATCTTTAATCTGCTTGGCCCTACTGCTCTCCATGTACAATGCATCGAGTTTCAATTTTTTTCATATTAAATTTTTTATCCTTGATAGAGCGAGCATCACATTTAGATGTGGAGTTAAACATCTGCCCTGCATCTCAGTGTCAGGACATCTCTTATTCTCTCCTCTCCAATTTTCTTTCCTTACACACCTGATATTTTTCGTAGGTTTGAGACCCCTGCAATTTACTTCTTTTAACAAGATGCAGATTTTGAAATGCTGTACCTGTAATGAGTGATAATGTAATTGGATAAAAGCTGTGAGGATGAATGGAGCTTTAAAGGTCACTCTTGTAAGAAGAATTAATGTGTTATACCATTAATAAACCATGGAAAACTGTGGAGCAAAAGATAACATACTTAAGTTATTGTTAATGACACAGACTTCTCTGCTGCATATCTCTCAGCTACAAATACAGAAAGTGACTTTTTGAGGTTGCTGAGCAATACCATGGTGCATACTGTATATATAAGATAAGCAGTCTTTAACTGGTGCAAGGGCTGGGCAGACTAGCCTACTTCTAACAAAGGTTTATTCTTTAGTAGAGTTCTAGAAGAATGAAAGACTGGTGAACGCTCTATGGAGTATTTTCTGCTAACTGCTAGGTCAGATCCAACCAAAGTTACAGCAAGTGAAACTCATTACCATGTTAAAACCATTTGGTGGTCTTAAGAAAGTGAGCATGAATTTTCAAGTCACCCTCTAGTAGGAGCTATGACAAAAATAAAAAATAAAAAAAATAAAAAAGGATAGCATTTTATCAAAGGTACTAAGGCCCTAAAAATGATAGAGAAACTGTATCGCTTCTTTATCTCAAGAGATTAATCCCTCTACAAAAAGTCACTGGGAAACATGCAGTCATTTGCCATACAGTTGCTTTGACCATTGGAATGATTGGAGCTGTCAGTGCAAGGCACAGGTTGTCTGTGGTAGGTGTGCGCAGCCCATCTTGCTGGAGTGCAGTTGAGCTGTCACTTTGCACCACCTCTAGCTTCAAATTAAAACTGTTCTCTGAAAGCAGTTCTTCAGGCTTCTTGGATCCCATGGCATGAGAAATGCTCATGTATTGTTCAGTTATTTTTGGAGGATGCAAACTTACAGCCTCCTGTGATTAACAGTAAAGCAGCATTCGGGCATACAGATCAGTGCTTTTTTAGAGCTATCCTTATAGTGTATAAATTATGCTACAGACTGAGCAGTCACAAATGTCGTGGCTTCATGCATGACTTTAAATCCAAGCGTTTCTTTTTGGGAACAGGCATATGTCCGTGAACTAAAAACAGAAACAACTTCTCTCTGCCCTTTGCCATTATCTGCGACATCTCTATGCTAGTTTGGCAATCCTTTTAACTAAGTGCATTTTATGTAATGCAGTTCCCCTCTCTGTCAATAATTCACCACCTACCCTAAACAACAATAATTTACATTCAACTCGCTTCTATATTAATCATTTCCCTGCACACCAGCATCTTGGCAGCTACTGAAAAACATAAGGAGTGCTTGCTTTTATTCACTGTCATGTGCCAAACTGTCTCAAAGATAGCAGTATTCAGGAAAAGCCAAATAGTCTGGAGAAGGGCATGAATTCCAGTTCCTAGGCAAATTTGTCTGTATTACAGTTGAAAGTACTGTACCTAGCCTAATCAAGAGCAGAACCAGCAGTAATACTACTGTTTGTTTATTTGCTTCCTTTTTAATTTATTCTGACTACATGCAAGCTTGATCAGTAACAGATGCAAAGTGGAGAAGAAACCAAGCAAGTTGATAAAATGGAGGTAAAAAATTTAAAATAATCAGCTGGTAGCACTGTGCTGGTGCAGAATATATCCTTCCTTATGATGGGAAGGCTGGAATTGCTGGAATTCCATTGGCTGGGAATTACTGAACTGGGTCATTTGATAAAAGCAATGTGGATCAAGTTATTTCATGCAAAAATCTCAGGGTTACTGGGTATGTAGCCAAAAGCTAACTGTTAGTACAATTAACAACAGTCAAACCACACAGAACTTTTCTTTCTAGTTTTTGTGCACTGAGGAAGATGAGAACACCAGTCCTATTCTGCCTGCAGTCTAAAAAAAACAACAAGAAAAACCCAAACCAAACTAAAATCCTGACAGCAGCACAGCACTGAACTAATCTGACATCAGCTTCTTCCCCTGCAATGTTTTAAGCAGCAAGACAATATCCTACGTTTTTTGGCAATCAGCAGATCAGATAGAAGAGTCTAGCAATACAACAAGGATGTGTAATCTGACATGATTAGACAAGGCTCTTTAGGAACAGAACATTCATAATTGAGACAAAGAAAGAGTATTAATAACACTTTCCTAACACGGCAGTTAGCCATTTTATATTTCCTTTCTTTAATCTTAGTGTTTTTCAACAAATCATGGGATTTAATAGCGTGTTTTGGCAGATTAGAGGATTTATGGCCCAGATGTTTTTTGTTCTAAAAATGGATTAGGGTGTAAAGTTTGCTGGAATCCATGGAACATGTTGAGGCAAGCCGGTCATTTTGTGTGTGATTAGTGCTTGCCTTCTGTCTCACAGTCCCTCCATCTGTCACAATTCACCAATGGATCTGGTTAGATTTAGCCTCATGTCACAAACAGAAGTCCCTTTTCTGGGCAATTTCATATTACAGATTCATTTTATGCCATTTTTATGCCCTAGTTAAAAGACAGAAAGGAGTGTGTGTGTGTGCGCACGCGTGTGGGGATGTGGAGAGGGGGAGGGAGATTGATAGATATTAGCCTCTCCTTTAATGTTTGAAAAATAGACTGGGGCTTGGAGTCTCCCATCAGTATTCTATCCTGCAAATCGCATGCAGATCATAATAAGTATAATCTACAGTACGCTAAAGGAAAAAAATGACAAAGTGTCACATTCAAAATTAAATAGTATTAGCTGTGCGGGTGATGCTTGTAACATTTTAAAAGGAAATAATTCAGTGACTACTAAGGCTAAGCCCTAGGCTGTGAATTTGCAGCAAAACAGTGGACATTTGACCTACTATTAGCAGCATGAATAGGAGTGGGAATGTAGGTCCATGTAGCTGTGGTTTCTTATACATTTCTGAATGACAGGTGGTGGTGGGGAGCATTCAGTGGATGAGGTTTCTCTTCCCAGCCATTATGCATTTCATATCTATAGCAAACCACCGCCACCTGTGGTTTATTTTAATATATTCACAAGTTTTAAGAAGAGGAAGAATGAAATGGTCTATTTTTAAGAGTTTGGGATTTCTGGTATGATCAAAGCTTCCCCTAACTCATATCCGGTTACATCCTGCTGCCTACAAACCACAGGGCTAACCTCTGCAGAGTCAGGGAAATATTGAAACTAATGGGATCACATATCAGGACAAGGATTTTGGCACTGAGGTTTTTCATGTTTTCTGTCCAGGTGGCTCTATCATAACAGTAACAGAATTCCAAAGCACGGATGGGTTTATGGGCATTATCTTCTAGCTCTTTCTCGTTAATAATGATGAACTATTGGTGCATTTCATCAATGAAAGCTAAAGTGTTTTCTTGTAACTTTCTTTTTTTAAGATATCCTTTCTTCTATCACGTCGTCAGGTTATTTAAATGACCATGATGCTGTTACCAAGGCAATCCAGGAGGCCCGACAGATGAAGGAGCAACTTCGGAGGGAACAACAGGTGCTGGACGGGAAGGTGGCTGTTGTAAATAGCCTGGGTCTCAATAACTGCAGGACAGAAAAGGTGAGTTTCTGAGACTTCCTTTGCAAAGGTTCTGAGGTTGCATTAGGCTCTTCCTACAGATACATAGGTCCTTCCTCCTTTTTTTCCTCCTTTTTCTTGCTTTGTTTTCTTCTTCCACATTTTTAAACAGAAGAGGTTTTTTTTAAAAAGGGGAAAGATAAAATGAAAAGCACAACCAAAAGATGACACGAGACAGAGACCCGGAGACCCTTGGGGGGAGAGTGGGATGGAGGCAGAGATAGTTAAAGCCCTTATGAGAACTTTGGAGACCGCTAATTCTCTGTTCCAGCCTGTCAGTGTGTATTACGAGAAGGTGATCTTGGAAATCTGTGGGTCTAAGTGGAAATCTTGCTTTATGGAAATGCTTACATGTGTTTGCGAGATGAGCTGGATTTGAAAATAATCAAGCTTCTTTAGGAACATAAGCTTTGCTGATACTCAGGCTCAGCTTCTGGGTATTTAGCCTTGTGAGGTTGTCATATGTGATATTTTGTGACCATTGCAATGTAGCACTGTCATGTCACATTAGATGACTTAACAAAATTGAAGGTATGGAGAATTGACAACACAAACTGCACCAAATATTTGGAGTGGAACTTCAAGGCAGCGGGAACGTATGTGCCTTACCACATTCTACTTTTGAACTGGCCTATGAAGCTCTGTTATAACAAAATATTGACAAAGTGAATATTCTCTAGGAAAATTGGTATGTACTGTTAACAGTCATGTATGTCAAAGAGGTTGAGATTTGCTGCTTTTCTCTGGAAATACGTGATCTCTTTCCATGCACTGCCCTGGCTTACGGAGGATAAATAGACCTGCCAGTCCTTGCTGACACATTTATAGTGAGCTGTTCTTATAATACTGCCACCTAAGATTACATCCAAACTCTTGTGTGCGTCTCGACATCATATGCTTAGCAAGACTTTTTCCTCATTCTTCTCTTCCCCTGCAATATTTTCTGAGGTGAAACAGCCTTCGTCATGTAGTACAACAAAGGTGATCATAGTTGCATTTGGTATAAACTGAATTTTATTGAAACCGCTTCTAGTGGCTTTTCACTGTAAGGCCTTGTGTGAATCACTGAAAGAGGTAGATAAATAAGATGAATAAAAATGATCAGCTATTTAGCAGAAACTTGAAAGTCAGTCATCCTAGGAAGCTTGTGAGTCAAACAATATTGTCCAGAATGAGCAGATTGCTAATTTGGATAGCTTTCCATTTTCCCCATTTTTAGATGGAGTTTGATCAATAAGCTGTGAGAAGCCAGCAGTCTGGGTAATGAATGTTAAATGTACGTGTGAGTCTCTCACTACTGTACTTTTTTTCATCAGGCTATCCTGGGTGTAAGTGATGTAGAAATTACTCCAATTTCATGCACTTTCTTAAGAGGAAGGGGAAGGAAAAAGAGGTCAGTGTAATAGGTATCTGGCAGTACATACAACCTCTCTAAGAAGAGTAAGAGCGCTGGTATGGGGAGAGAGAAAGAGAGGGATGAAGCATGTTTATGGCATTTCACATAGAAGAGTACCAGAAGGGAAAAGGGAAGAGCAGAGTGTCAGATATAAGAAGAAGTGATCACAAGCACAAAGGAATTTATATTCAAATATTTAAGCATTCTTGAAAGGATGCTCGGAGCAGAAATTTCTTTTCTCTGCTCCCCATGTAGAAATGACTTTAACACTCAGCCAGATGCTAATGCAAAGTGACTCAAGCTATTCCTCGCAAGCATAGCTAAATTGCTGTTATTTGTTAAGCGCATTGAATTCAGCTGTGGATACAGCAGTTGGTTGCATTCAGAAAGCATCTGTACCCTTTTCTTTTTCTTCTTTTTTTCCTTTTTTTTTTTTTTTTTTTTAATCCTCCAAAGCAGAGACAACTCTACCTATCTCCCCCCTCTCCTCCCTTGTGCTGGCTGGGAATTGTCAAGTGACAACCGACCAAATCCTTTTGGACAGGAAGCCTTCATCCTGAGTTCTATATACTTGCAAAGCAGGCCTTGTGGTTGGATCAGGAAGCCCGTTAAAAGCACTTTGATGGTATGGAAATTCATCTTCATGAAGCACCCAGGCCCCTAAGCAGCATGCTGTTTAGCTGTGGTTACAGATCAGTCATTCACATCGGAGGGCAGTAATTGTGCTGACGGCTTGTTCAGCAATGGAAGCACATAAAATAATCCCAGGCCCTCCACCATGGCATTGCGAGTTAATCTTCTTTAATACAGATCAGCTGTTGTTCTAACACATGACTTTATGCTGGCTCTAGTGACTCTGCACAGCCTTTTGATTAAGCAACAGGAGTGGAGCCATCTGTATTCACTTTATTCTATTACTTTCCTATTGTTGGGATTCTCCTTACCCCTTCTGTTTTCACTTCTCACCCTCAACCCTAGTTGAAGTTTATTTTCCTCTCTAATTCATGCCGCCTGGTGGGCTCATGGAGGGCAGTGAGAAGTTCTTTTACAAGGTAGCAGGAAGAAAAAATCAATGGGAAATTTTTCTTAAGCAGTTGTAGGGTTTGGGGCTTTTGATACAATAAATGCCAAAACTTTATTAGGGCACATCAATTTTCATTTATTTATCCATTATTTTATTTTATTTTTAAATGGGAGACAGGAAAGGACAGAACCGAATCTGAGCTCTCTAGACTATAATAGCATTTGGGTTGCTAGGGTGACCAGTTAAGCCACTAAGCAGTAGTTAAGATCTTACACATTTTAACTTGTAGGGTCTCTTGAGCTGTCTCTTGCCTTTGACCCAACAGAGGACAAGGCATAGGCTGTAAAGTTCAGATACTTGTTCTCCTTCCCCATCTGTGCTCTAGGCCATCCACCAACTATGCAGCTGTGAAGCTTGGGTCCATTCGATCTAGGACTTTAAAGTTTTCTCTCGTATTAAGAGCAAGGTTTGATAGGAAGACAAATGTTGCCTTTTTGAGTTAAATTTTATTCTGTTTTTCCCTATTTTCAGTGGAAAGAAAAAGAGATAGTTGGGAAGGCGGGTTTTGTGGAACAGACTGCTGCAGTGTTACCACTGAGGGTTTCTTTGCAGAAGCTCAGGGTCCTATCAGGGGACTTAGAGGCAGCTCTCTGAAATTTGGGATATTTCCTTTGCTCCCTGGTTGCTTCCTGATAGGGAGATTTTGAGGTAGAGGAAGGAATTAAAAGAGGGTTAGCCTAATGTAGCTATGTGTCCATGGGCATATCCATGCTTAGAAATGCACATTTTGACCATAATTATGTACAGAAGAAATGCTCTCCTTCCTGTAGAGTGATCTCAGTCTGTATGGGCAACAGACACTCGACTGGGGCTATCCCAAATTTTCCTCTCTTTCCTGCAGTGGCTAGCATAGTTATGGAGACCTACAACTCTCTGAGACATGCTGAGTTTTTTTCTTCATTAATTTCTGCTGCAGCCTACCAGTAAAGGTAGTGTCTGTGCAGTTCTGAACACATGTGTTAGACCCCTGATAGGGATTCATCTGCCAGAAGTAGCTGGGCAGGCTCAAGGCTGGAAATCATCTTTGTGAGTCTCTATTAAAGCTCTTGGGGCTTTCCTCCATGCATGTGCGTGACCTGTTATCTGGCTTGTGTTCCCAGATGGGTTGATCTCTGAGGACAGCCAGACCTGCCAGCTGTAAGGCAGTAGTCAGACAGGAATTTTGTGGTATTTTAGAGAAACTGTATAAAGCGAGTCATAAATGAAAAGAGCTAAGAGCTTTTTAGAAAATGGCTAGGATGATTTGTGTGAGTCACTTTATGGGCATCCAACTTGGACTATCTTGACTGATTTGATTTTCAGAGGATTGCAGTAAAAACTGTGAGCATCATGATGACCATGGATTTTACTAAAACCTATTTTAATTGCAAATGCAATAAAACATATTTTTACATTACTTTTCTTGGAAACATTTCCGTGTATAAATGAAAAGTGTGTGTATGTTTTTCTGGTTTCTTGGAAACCCGGGAGCATAGTTTTATTTGTAATTGTCATCTACAGTTAATTATAGCTTGATAGGTACTATGCATAAACAATGTTCCCTTTTATACATGTAGTTTAGAGCGCAGATTGTCACCTAGTGCAAATGCAACAAGTGGGCAACATCAGCAAGTGGGCTCTGCTCTAGTTGTTCTGCCCCAAAACTGCCTGTTCCTCTGCAAAGGAGATGTACACAAACACAAAGAGCCAGCATGTGTGTGCATGCATACAAACCTACAGAGCACTCTTTCAGAGATGCACAGCACAAACACGAACTGAGCTAGCCAGTAATTTTCTGACTATAGGCAGACTCTCAAGCATTCCTGCATGTACCCTGGTGGCTGTAAAAAAGGAGGAATACAAGCAGGTATTTGATCATGTGTCTGCGCACACTGGTGCAATCACAAATACTGGTTTCCAGATGCTGGCACCTGCTGAAGATGCTGGTGGCTGGGACACTTGTGTAAGTATACATAGCCACACAAGCATTTCAGATGAGTACAGACACAGTCTCAGTCTTCCTCATAGCACACTTGAGATGAGCGTATCCGAATACGTGTACCTCCTGTGCTGAGTGTTTCTTAACCTGTGATGCAAGTTCTCCCTGTTATTGCTTGGAGTGCGTCCTTTTAAAAGACCCTGACATGTACTTGTCTGCTGGGCTGTAACTAAAGAGCTATTTGTAACAATATTTATTCCAGCATTGTAAGCAGGAGCCTATTTATTACTCATGCTCATGGAACACTGGGTTCAGGATGTCTTTCCTCCCATTCCCACCCACCCCTCCTCCCAGCATCCTCCCACCTCCCCCTCTTCCCCTTAAGAGAGTGCCAAACATGAAATGACAGTGACCAATGTTGACTTAATGTGAATGTTTAATAATGAAAAAAGTGTGTCAGTTCCAGCGTTAGTTACAAATGGCAGTAAGTGTATCGGGTGGCAGCCCTGTAATAATTTTACATCCATCATTCGTTCCTGATGCCTCGCTGGCTGCCTGATGGATGGGGATAGCAGAGTTAACCC